TGTGATGATTTGGATGAAAACTGTTTTTTGTCGCATTCACTTCAACAAATACGTTTGTTGCGTTTATGCAGTGTAAGTCGCCAAAGATGTGATCTACTTTACTGTTGTTGGATACCTCAAACCCGCCAAATTTATTGAATTTGGTAAATTTTATGTCACTCACATCAATGCTATATTCAGATCCAACGTTCTTTGTGCCTGGGAGGTATTCGTAAATAAAGTTTTGGAGAAAGTCCATTGGATTTTTACAGTTCTTATTTCAAACTAAAAACCACTTCACTCAAAATGATTTTTATTTGTTTTTTATAGGATTTTGTAATTGGTATTTATTTAACGAGTTTTTTAAGTAATTATTTATTTCCTATTGTTTTATTATTTCTTTTAATTAAAATGTTAAATTTGTTATATTCATTTGATAAATTAATTCATTAATTAATTATAATAACGAGTTGTTATCATTTCTTAACACTTGAAATATCATTGAACAAAATTCAAGTGGTTTAAAAATCGGGAAATCTCGAGGTTATTAAATAAATTTCCGTTTTTTTAGAGTTTATATTAAATGCATAACAATACACAAGCCAAAAAACGAAAATCATCAAAAATTGGATTAATATCACTGTAAAAACAGGCCAAAACAAAAATAAGGGTGTTATTTTAAGTGTTAACACTTTTTTTCTATAACATTTTGTAATGACGAAAAAAAACAATCAAAAATAAAATAATTGATAAATAGATTTATAATAATAAAATAGATTTATTATAAACAATTTATAATAACACAATTGTTATTTGAAAAATAAATCAAGTTTGTTTGGTTTATAATTATTTGTTTTAATTTAATAGAACTTCACAACATTTTCTAATGCTTAATGGTATAATTAATTTAAAATGTGAACCACAACAAGTTCTTTCCCAAACTGAAGGAAGTCATTGCCTTCAGGTAATTGCTCCACAGAATTAAAATCAAAAATGAAGAACTTGAACCCCACAAAAGGCGGTACAACAAAGATTAGAGGTGAGTTTTCTGAAAGT